AAATAGGAATATAAAGTGTAAATTAATTCTCTTTTCAATAGATAAAAGTGATTTTTCCATGTTTCGATATATTTATTTTCTAGAAGATTTGTCATCTTTCAAAAGTGTAACTATAATTGAATAGAGGTCGAGTGTGATGTCAAATAAAAATGAAAAAGATATTTCGATATTTATTTTCAACATATAAGTTGGAAACACGTAATTAATTACAATGACCAACTAGTAAAAAGGGTAGCGCTATTAGCATATGCAATTATAATATGCTTCTCTTTTACATGCAATAGTCCACCAAAGAAGAGAGTTATTTTCAATTAAAAACTTCACAACAATTATTACAACAAAAATTTAGTTTCTATATGTTATAAGAAAGTTTACTATTAGCAAGTTGAGTAATTCTATTTATCAACACAAAGTGGCAGTGGCATAGCTACTTACCAACGAATAAAACTACTTCCCATTTTTTATTAAATAATGTGAGAGTTACTCATTATCATATGGACCGATAAGAATATCAATAATGATAAATAATCTCATTCATAAAAGTATCCTATCTCTCAAAAATAAAGGGAACTTTACAAAAACTAAATTATTTTTTGGTATTTTTTTGATCCATATCTTATCATCCAAATCAAACATTCCTTAAATCGGTATACCCTTATTATTTCATGGAGGAAAAAGGGCGAAAAACTAAGGTAGTGGTTGGTTTTCATTTTCATTTTCAAAACGATTTTAATTTTCCCCGAAAACGACTCGTTTTCCGCGTTTTGAGCATTTTGGCAATTTATAACTGAAAACGCTCAAAATGATAAAAAATCGTTTTGCGTTTTCAGTTATAAATTTTAACTCATTTTCGAAAATGCGTTTTTGAAAACGACGGACCAAAGGCGGTTTCCATGTTTTTGAAAACGGAAAATGACATGGAAACGGCAAATCAACCGCACCCTAAAGTGTTCATTACAATACATATGCTTGTCTTTTCGCAATACAACCCTTGCTAATTTTGTGATAACTACATGCTTAATCAATCAAACTAAAAATATCTTGAATGTTACTGTATCATGGGAAAAATAAATTAATATATAATAAAGAAAACAGTTTGATTATATAAATATAAATATATATTAGGGATAACGAAGACAAGCCGATTGAGAAGGACAAAGGCTTCGATCCTTTGGCAAATCCAAAGCTTAGGCGGCGCCACCGACGCCATATCATTCATACCATTTCCTATTTGTCTTCACCCTTCAAAAAAATAATAATAATAATAAATAAAAATAAAAATAAAAATCGTCCTTCTTCTTTTCTTTTATTTGATTAATAAATTCTTGTAACATTTTTAATTCTGTAAACTCTCTTCACATTTGTTTTAGAAACATTTTTAGCATTGTCAATGTAATAATATACTGTTAACTACTTAATTAAATCAAGCATTACCCTCCCATCCGGATCAAAAAGAACATAACAAACATAATTTATTTATATTGTGAATTTCTCTTTTTTCTTAAATTAGTAGTATCATACAATCAAGTTTAAAATTTATTTGAGTAATACATTTTAACTTCTTTTTACTAAAATAAATATAAAAAAAAACTATT